GACCGTACGATTGTTTAAAAAATATAAAATTAAATATGTAACCACACAAAATCCTGATATCAAAAGCGCCGTGATCGAAAGAGTTAATAGGACCTTGAAGACTCGTATGTGGCGATACTTGACTCATAAAAACACTTATCGTTACATCAATGTGTTGGATGAATTGGTGAATGCGTACAACAATAGTGTGCACAGGAGTTTGGGCAATAGACTACGCCCTGTAGACGTGGACGGTGGTGACAAACATGTCGTCTACAATGTATTAAAACATATGTTTAAAAGGATACCACGACGAGTGAAACCAAAACTAAAAGTAGGTGATACAGTTCGAATAGCCAGGGAGAAAGGGAGATTTAGCAAAGGCTACGAGACAAACTGGAGTAAAGAAGTGTTTTCGATACATCGAGTGAATGTGTTTACGCCACTACCTTTGTACACACTTACCGATCTCAATGGTGAAGAATTGAATGGACAGTTTTACGAAGAGGAAATACAAAAAGTCACATTACCCGACAATCACTTGTTTAAGATTGATAAAATAATAGAGACTAAAGGTCGAGGACACAGTAAGCGATACCTAGTGAAGTGGGAAGGTTACGGAGACGAGTTTAACTCTTGGGTAGCTGCGCACGATATACAGCATGTCTAGTAGTATCAGTCAATTTTTTATGACATTGCCCAGCAATAGTTCTATGAAATATTTCCCACAAAATACAGTGACCAGTTATACCACACACTTGTCCAAACACATCCAATTAGACGGCAAGTGGGAGTTGGCTTTGGTGGACATTCACTATCCTTGTTCATTTGTGGTGAATGGAAACAATGTTGATGACGAAACAATACGATTTCAGTATGATAGTTTACTAGCGAGATCGACGATCCGTGATACAGAACAGTTCGCTGTTAAAATTACAGGCGGATACTATAGGAATCTTGATGATCTATTGAATACAATAAACAAACATGAAGACATCCACGATTATATGGAATTTTCATACGACACGAGAATCAACAGAGTTAAACTCAGGATCATGAACGGAAACGTATCGAATGTGAGTCTGAGTGAAAAACTATCACAGCAGTTGGGTTTCGATTATGACGAGAAAAATATATTAAAACCCAATATTACCGAATTGATTGGTTCTAAAGCGCCAAACCTCGCATTGGGTATTCCAGCGCACATTTATGTGTATTGCGACTTGATAGAGCCACAATTTATCGGCGACACTACAGCGCCATTATTGAATATAGTCAACATCAATATAGATACGTACAAGTACGGTTCGTACAATTCAGTGTCATTCACAAGTCCGCACTATGTACCCGTTATGAAATCCACATTTGAAACAGTGGAAATCGACTTGAGGGATCACACAGGGAAAAAACTGCCATTCATGTTTGGAACGTCGTACGTGAAACTTCATTTTAGGAGAGTGCAGCAGCAACAGCAGCAATAATGATAATCAATCTGAATGATCCCTATTTAGCATACTACCGACGGCAACAATTACAACAGACTGGCGGTGCTATCGATCGAGTATTTCACGGTGCACCATATCAGCGAGGACATGGAATCGGTAGTTTTCTGGGCGGTATGATTCGCACTATCGCGCCACTGATCAAGTCCGGAGCAAAATCGGTGGGACAAGAAGCGTTAAGATCCAGTGTTGGATTCCTAACCGATCTGGCAGGTGGTAAAATTACAGATCCAAAATCGGCCGCCAACTTACGACTTAGAGAGTTTACTGGATCGTTGAAACGTAAAGCTGACGAACAGATAGAACGTATTATGCTTAATGGCGGTGGAGGCGGCAACATTGGCGCGAGGAAACGACGCGTAACGCGTAAGAATAACGCGAAACGCGCAATGCGTGGCCGTGGCAGAAAGCCTGTTACACCACAGTCGTTGGCTAAACTTCTTAGGGTGCGGACGTCTACATCAAGAAGAAGAAGAAGAGTTGGAGGAGTGAAACACAAGAGACTAGTAGGGAGGATACGACGACGAGGAGGAGTAGAGCCAAGGAAGAAGGTGACTTTGCCGAAGAAACGTACTCGTCGCAGTAAAAATTTGAAGTCTATTGATATTTTTAGTTAGTTAAAGAAGGAGGAGAAAAAAAATGTCGTTCCTACATCAAAAATCATGTGAGTGTGTCAAAACCGAGCTGGATCTATTCTCCTTACCACCTACGCAGACGAGTATTGAAAGTGGCAAATGGGTCCAGTACAAACCAATATCCACATTGACCGATGATGCGCCAATAGAGTTTGTAGTTCCGGGTAATGGTGATGAATACACTGACCTTTCACAAACAATGATACAATTGACCGCGTCTATTGTTAAATCTAACGGAACTGCGGTCACTACTGACGAAGAGGCGAAAACAGTTGGGCCGGTCAATAACTGGTTACACTCACTATTCAGTCAAGTTGATATGTTTATGAATCAAAAACTTGTTACTCCCCAAAACAACACATACGCATATCGAGCGTATGTTGAAACGTTAATGAACTATGGATACGATGCTAGAAAATCACATCTAACATGCAGTCTTTGGTACACTGACGATGGAATTGACATGAACGATTGCGCGGAAGAAAATGAAGGGCTCAAAGCGAGACGGGAACTAACTAATAAAAGCCGTGAGATTGATATGCTCGGACATTTGCATGTGGATATTTGCAATCAGAATAAGTTCATGCTAAATGGCGTAGAGTTGAGATTTAAATTTATTCGATCAAAAGATGCTTTCTCCATTATGGCCAGTGCTGGTGAATTCAAGGTACATATTGTCGATATTAGTCTCTGGATTCGAAGATGCAAAATAAGTCCCACCGCACTGTTGGCGCACAGTAAAACACTCCAGACTGGTACGGCAAAATATCCAATCACACGAGTGGAGCTGAAAACATTCACACTACCCTCTGGAATACGTAACAAGACTTTGGACAATATGTTTCTCGGCCAAGTGCCGAAACGCGTCATAGTGGGAATGGTTACGAACGCCGCATACAATGGAGATTTTAAAAAGAATCCCTACAACTTCGAACATTTTAAAACAAACTTCTTTTGTCTATATGTTGACGGAGAACAAGTTCCATCAAAACCGTTACAGCCCCACTTTGAAAAATCAAAGGATAAATATGTTATGGCATATCATTCGATGTTCTCCGGTTCTGGTGTACATTTTAGCGATGCCGGCACTGTTATCAGTAGGGAAGACTTTGGTCAAGGATACTGCCTGATGGCATTCGACCTAACACCAGATTTATCTGCAAGTGACACTACACATTGGAATCTGGTGCGTAACGGTAGTGTTCGAATGGAACTCGGATTCGACGACGCGCTTACCGAAACTGTCAACTGTTTGGTTTATGCCGAGTTTGACAATGTTATCGAGATTGATCGACAGCGCAATGTAATTGTGGACTTTGGCGGTTAATCGATCAGTCTTCAATAAACATTCGTTTGAGATGGACCGTTTACGCAGAGCATTCAAGAAATTGAATATATCATCACCCATCATTGTGGACATTCAATGTTTCAAGGACAATCAAAATGAATATACACTGAAGGAAGTTTGCGTCTTGGAAGCTGACACCGGCGTACTACTTATGCATCATATTGCTAAACCACCTTACGATCGATCAGAGTTATCAGATGAAAAACTGAGGGAAAGCTACTGGCTCACAAAACACTGCCACGGACTACGATGGGAGTTCGGTGATATTGCGTACTACGAACTTTTTAACAAATTGACTGATTGTATATCAAAAAGACCGACGGTTTATGTCAAGGGATTGGAAAAGAAAGAATATTTAAAGCGTCATCATGTGATGGACTTTGTTACTACCAATATAATCGATATCGGTGCAATTGGTTGCGAATCAATCACTTCAATCAATAATTTAATGTCAACAAACGTTTTACGATGTCGAAATCACAAGTCTACATACAGTCGATGTGCGCTCACCAACTGTGTCGCAATACGTGGTTGGTTGCATTTGACAACAAATTTGGACGAATGTCTGGATACCAGCGGAGATGCGAGATCCTACTACTGTTCTTGTTTTAGCACCTCTACCAGTACAACAAAAACAGCATCTACTGCTACTATTGGTTATGATACTGTAGAATGAACACGCTACAGATTGAAAAATATCTAGCCACACTTCCTGTGCGCAACGTTGGAGTCTACGCTGCTGACAGAATCCCACGACGCATCTCACCACACACTGCAATAATTGTAAACACTGATCCACACAATGAAGGTGGGACTCACTGGGTGGCTTTCTATTTGAATCGAGAGGGGATGCTTGAATATTTTGATAGTTACGGCCAACCGCCATACTTACCACTATATCAAACATTCCTGCGACACAACGCTCATCATTACCTGTACAATCCATACCGACTTCAAGGTGATACGTCTTCAGTCTGCGCCCACTACTGTTTGGTTTTCCTGTATTGCAGCACACACTTCAGTATGAAGATGATGGATTTTGTTCAACTCTTTGATGAACACACTACTGATCGTAATGATAGAATCGTCAAAAGACTCTTTACTCAAATGTATCACAAGACAAACTAATCACTGTACTGTTGTAAATTATATATATTTTTAAATATATATTTTTTTTTATTACCAATAAACTTTTTCCTTTTGTCAAACAATATTTTCAGTTGTTATACTTTATTACCTGTGTTCATCATCATTATTATCATATTTTTAGTTTAAAGCGCATAGACTCTGATTATTTAAATGTGAAAACAAAATGATTTTTCCCTTTATTATTATTAAAATATTTCTGTTCAGAGTCTATGAATGCTGTTCAAAGTCTAATATTATACTATGAATGATAGGAAAATAATTACAATCAGAATTTGTGAAATAAATATATCTGTTTATTAACTAAAATACTATTTACAAATATATGCATACTTTTGAGGAGTCAGTGACTAGAAATATTTACACGTGACTTTGAAGTGGAAAAAATTTAAGAATTTATTTATCAAAACATCTTTGAATTGTATTCAAAATCTAATACTAATGAAGACTGTTCAATAAATAACTCTACCTAATATCACACTCATGCGGACCTTGGTCTACTAATCAATAATAATATATCAGTTATGATGGGGATAGAGGTTGTGGCGCAATTGGAGAGTATCGTATCCACTAAAGGGCCAGTGGCAGTAGTTAAGGTCCCTCAAGTATCTGTGGTGCCCTTAATGGTGGTATTGCATAGTGTCCCCAAGGTAGCGTGTTGATACCATCTTCTGGCATTACGTATCGTTTGTCGTCAAACGGTGCCAGTGAGCGCTTCTTCACCACAACTGTGTATAAAATGTGGTGACGGCTTTGAAAACGTTGATTGTCTGTACTTTTAGTAGTTTTATTGTACAGACAATTCAAATAATCTTCTATGGTGAGATCACGCTTCACTACTGCTCTGTTTACCCCTTTTGCTCTCTTCACAGGCGGCGGTATACAGTTGGCACCATCTCCGTTGTCTCCTTCAGGCGCACACGTTAAGATGCTATACGTGAAACAATACAGCTTCGACATCAGACCAATGAACATTTTAATGGCCACACCGGCAGCTTCGTCCTTAAACTTCCCCAGAACTCTAGCGTTTCCTCCGTCGTAACAAATGTGGTTCCGGGGATAGTTACTGGTGTCAAAGTCGTCCAAATGTTCTAACATGTCGCGGTATACGTTCTTAGTACGTATTGAATAATGACAGCCATCGGTGTCCATGTAAATCATCGATATTCTATCGATTCCATACCTATCTACCATGTCATAATGGAAACCATACATCCACCTCTTACTGTGGTCCAGAATGCACATCCCTGCGTAGACGGGTTTGCTCAGTACTACCCGCACTTTTGACATATTCAGTATGGCAAGATTCTCATTTAACCAAATACGATCATTGAAATTAGCTTTTGCTACATACTTTGTATATGTTTTGCGGGATGATGCAATCTTTAAATCTTGATGTTTGCGTACATTCTGAAGACTCATACCGTAGACAGCGTTTACCATAAGTTTAAACATTTCTACCTCAAATTTATTTACAGCACGCTGTCTAAGTTCGGTATTCATAGTCACGTACGGTTTCAACCATGCCGACTGTTTAAAACGAATCACTCTGTGGATTCGAGTTACACGTAATCCATTCTCTATAGCTTGTTGTAGGTAGCGATAGTGAATTACATATTCCCTCTTATCCATCAGTGTGGCCATTAATTTCTTCGATTTTCCTGCTCCACTATTGATAATTTCCTCCAACGAGTATGGGAGTTGATTAATCGGCGCTTTGCATATCTCGGGACAGAATGGTAAATCCCTGTGTCGATCGTGCAGTGCTGGATCTCTGGGGTATTCTAGATCTACTTCCAGCACATATCCATATTCACCATCTGTTGGAATTCTTCCAATGTCCAAGTCGTCACATTCCTGACGTGATAACCACTCAAACTCGGAGTGAGGGAGCAGTTCCGACATTGCCCAGCCATAAAGATTGTTTGCGTCATAATACATTATAAATGTATCGTCATCTCTTTCATCGCAATATTCACTTGATGCTGCTGCGTTCTGACCGTCTCGGTCATTACCAATTGTTTCCATTCTGGTAAACTTATTGTTGGCAACAACGTGTCTAGTAACGCATTGGGTCAGTCCACCTCGAATACCCTTCTCAAAAAACAGATACATATCAATATCTTGTAGGGTATCAAGGATAACATCTGTCTTGAACATCATTACGTCCCAAGCATATGATGGAAGTGTCAAATAACGCGCTGGGTCCAATCCGTAATGTGTTAGACACATCTCTCGGAATCCCTCGAACACATCCGCTAATAGCAATACGTCAGTTACCAAATAGATATCAGCATACTGTCCGAGGGTCGTACAGTCAAATTTCTCCCATACTCGCTGCGCATGCTCGTAATCCGCATCACTCACTCCTTCTCCAAATACACACTTTGGTGGAAGGACATCTTCTTCGAGTACCTCCATCGATGAAATGTACTCATACGGAAATACACCTTTCCTCCTAAGCAGATCGAACTGTTCTTGATTGGCGTAGCGTGACTTTGTAATTTTTAATTTATCGGCCGGCAGGATTGATGCTAATGTCCCTAATGCTTTTGACATTAACCTATAGGAATCAACAAATTGTAGTTTGAGACCACCTTGCCGACCTGCTCCCGGATATTTAAATCGTTTGGAGAATGTGATATACTTTTCCTCCGTATTTGCGAGTACATTTATATTTCCTTTATCAACGGATAGCTCTCTGATGATAAAGTGAGCATCGTAATTGGATAAATTGTGGAGATAAATGTTGATAGTGTCCTGTTCCTTGTGGCGGATATTACAGGAACGGTGTGCTGCTCCTCTGTAAGTATAGGGAGGAGAGTGTTCGTGATCTCTAACACGGGGGTCGAGTATTGTGAATTCTCGCTTGCATATGTAGCATACTGTTTGCTCGCGGAAAGAATCCTCTTCCACCTGTGTTAACCGTGGAGGGTCATTCGGCAGACGTTGCCCATACACTATATCACCAATCTTCTGTACGTCATCCCGTATCGATTTGATAAAGTGCTGGGCGGCGTCTTCACCTCTGTACAGGCGCAATTTGGAGAACGTCAAAGCTGTATGGTCATTGTCATCAGTATCACCATCACTTACATTTCTATTATCATCTCGAATGTAATAGGCGTATGCATATGGTACATGGACATTTCTGGCATTGTGCATTTCACCAGGTCGGTCTCGACGTGCTCCTCTTGCTAATGCGGGATCCCATGCTGGCGGTGGAACAGTTGGCGGAGGATCGATTGTTTGTTCAGGCTCAAGAGGTACGAGTGCGCATTCAAAGTCAGCGTAAATGGTGAATCGACTTCGTTGAGTGCGTTCAAAATTTTTAAAATGTATTGTTTTGTCTTCCGCAAGATCAGTTCTTAACGGAGCATTGTTAAAACAATATCGCTGATGTTCCAAAAGACGTTCCTCCCCTCTAAGGCCTAACTTCGTTGGCTGATTATCGAAGTGTGCAAAACAGCGCTTACATATGTAAAGGCGATGTCCATCTGGTCTCAGCTGGGAAGAAACCAATCTCGTAAAGCTCTTGATCCAAACGTAGTGGGTGGTGACGTCATTTGTTATAAGGAGTAGGTCAAAATGATTGGCTAATTCACGATCTGCGACACGAAGAGGGTAGACAATGTGTTTGTCCGGGTCCGTGAAACGTTTCTTTTTCTTCTTGTCCAGACCATACACATTAACACTAACGCCTTGGTTATTGCGCTCAAACGTGCGGATTTGGTTAAGACTTACAGGGAAAATTAAGTCATTAAAGTTTAAATTTGCTCTTTCTCTAATTTCTGCTGTGAACATGTTAGGTGTTAGTTGACATTGACGATTAACAAAATATTTGGAGAGTATTGAATATTCAAAACAACGTTCATCCGCATCGTTTAGCACATTAACCGTTGCTTTTTTAATGGCGATATCATGCGGCAGTTGAATGAAAGAACTACCTTTGAGTGGGCTATAGACATTTACACGGATTTGCATGTCTAAAACCCTGACAAAGCTCCAGCCAGATCCTTTCATTTCACATGTTTCCTTTTCTAGTAATACATTTTGAATAAACTCTTGCACTAATTCGTCAATGTGAGACGATTGAAAAAAAGGTACATTTTTAGTTTTGAAAGCTCGCCTGCATGTATCACCATGAACATTTACAAATTCACATTCTACAAATATATTACACTTAATGGCATGAGTGTGATTTAATATAGTCCGCATGAGTGTGATTACCTTATCTCGAATGTCATTGAGGAACTCCAGCAGTGAGACGGTGTTTTCGGCAGGCTCGGATAAACAATAGGTTTTAAGCCGACCTTTGAACGCCGTCTCAATTTCCTCGAACCCTTGTGGAGCCAAATTGTCAGGAATCTCGACCTGGTCATTAGTATCATCCTCGTCACTAGTCGACTGAGGTGATGACAGGTTGATGGATGGTGGGGCGGGTGAGGGCTCTGGCTGATTGATTGGTATCTCAGATCCGTTACCCCTGCAGCTGAAACGAGTGTGCTTGTGTAACTTATTCTTCCTGGTGAATGTTTTCCCGCAACCGTCGCATGTATATCCTATATAAAACAGAAAAAAATCGGTGTGATTAGCACGTAAACTTAAACAAGATCATAAAAGTTTATCTCAATTTATTTAATTGCATATAGTAGTTTTAAATTTCAGAGTTGTTATTTCAGCGATCGAATGTCCATTGTTTGCAATAAAAATAATTTTCGTAAATTATATAATAAATATTTTGATTTTGTTTTAACGATTAAACCTAACTAACTACAACCGAACATGGCTCGGCCCCACTGAAGTTTCTAGTAAACAGAAGAGAATAGTATACTAACTCTTAATGAAAAATTGATTTTTACTTTAAACAAAAGAGTGTAATGACAAAAAATATACTATATTGTTTTTTTTTTTTTTGTAGGCCTAGTACAAGGAAAGTGACAAAAAGATATCTCATATTTTGACTGTGAAATAGTAAAATTTGTTGGTATTGAAATAAAATGAATGAATAAATTATAATTTACTACTACTAGTACTTCAACAATAGAGTTCAAAGATAATTCTATACTCTATTGTCATGATACTAAATGTTATAAATCGAATTATCTTTAATTAAAACAATTGTATAGTTGATTGGTAAATATATCATTTAAAACGTACCTATAAGGCGAGATACAGCGGGTTGAGCTATCATCGGACAATCTGGGGCAGACGATGGTCCAGGTCTCGGAATGTAGTCGGGAGCGCTGGATGGTACAAGTCGATTACTTGCGGTAGTAATAGCATTGTTCTGTCTAAATGCGGGATTCTCAGGTTGTTGTGGTTGTTGGCGATGCACGATTAGCATGTGACGTTTTAAGTCATCGTTGCGCCTAAATGTTGTCCCGCAGATAGAGCAGGCTTCAGGTGTACCGCCATGAGTGACTCTGGTATGGCGCATCATATTGTTCTTCCGCGTGAATACCTTGTCGCAGAGGGCACAAGTGAAACTACGTCGTACAGTGTTATTATTCATGATCTGAAAACCGAAACAAATACTTTTAATATACATACTAAACACCTTTGATGAAATATTTTAATTTTTTTCAAGCAAGAAAAATATTTTTAATATCATACATTTGAGTTAATCAATCTAATTAGTTTTCTACTATGATCATAGCGGTTCTGTTTAGTCAATGATAGATTGGGTTTCTTTTTGTACTACTACCACTATTTATGTAGATTAAAATCTAAACTTTTTAATGTAAGCAAGTTGTTAAGTTAAATATTTATCTCTTATTCTTCCTAGTAAATTTAATTACATAGACCAATTCTAGTAACTTCTTTCTGTCAATGATAGATTGGGTTTATTTTTGTACTACTATCACTATTTATGTAGATTAAAATCTAAACTTTTTAATGTAAGTAAGTTGTTAAGTTAAATATTTATCTCTTCTTCTTCCTAGTAAATTTAATTACCTAGACTAATTCTAGTAACTTCTTTCTGTCAATGATAGATTGGGATTATTTTTGTACTACTACCACTATTTATGTAGATTAAAATCTAAACTTTTTAATGTGAGCAAGTTGTTAAGTTAAATATTTATCTCTTCTTCTTCCTAGTAAATTTAATTACCTAGATTAATTCTAGTAACTTCTTTCTACATTTGTTTGGATACAAAATATGTAACAATAATTATATTTAGTGATACTTACATTTTATGATTGTAAGGTTAATTCAAAATCTCGATACTGCTCTGCACCTATCGACTGTAGAAGTGGGCTGTTGATCAGTAGGTCCGCACTACACGACTAATGGAAGTATAATGAATCCTTCATAGTTGATGTAGGGCGTTGGTGTTCACTAAGCAACTGGATATGCGCAGGATAGATGCGCAGTAGACGATACGTACGAAGTGACAGAGGGGTTCGCTCCCCTCATACATAAATTATCATCGTAACAGGTGGTCCTCCGACACATCGTATCTCCACTTCTTCCACCATCCCCCGACATCTCAACATATGTTCGTCAACATATGTGGTCTGTAGTGGTTGAATAAATAACGTCACTGTTAGATCCTTCCCCAGATCAACAGATTAGATTGATGGTGTCTAGACATGGGATTAGTTTGTGCGGGAAGCAACATCACAATGATTTCTCACGATGTAAAGAATAATTACACTTAAAAAATTAAGGAAGGGGGAGAAGTACCCTCTACACATTGTCGAATAAAAAAAAACTAATTGTAATTACTCATTACAAAAGAACAAATTGTAAATACTTATAACAAAAAAAAAATTGTAAATACTCATTAACAAAAAAAAAAACTAATTGTAATTACTCATTACCCATAAAAAAAAAAAAATAATTGAAAAAATACTCATTACCCATAAAAAACTAATTGTAAATACTCATTACAAAAAAAAAAACTCATTACATAAAAAAAAAAAAACTAATTGTAATTACTCATTGTAATTGCTAATTACCGGAGCGGATCCGGCCCCCACAGTAGTGCGTAATTACCTCTACTAAGGTTAAGAACAACAAGATTTTAAAGTGGCGATTGGAACTAGCACCTTTCTCTTATGACATAGTGTACCGTTCTGGCAAGGAAAACGTAGTAGCAGATGCATTTTCACGAGTTTCATCTTCCATCTCTTGTAGAGATTTCGAAAAACTCCGTAGAATTCATTGTGACATTGGGCATCCTGGAATAGTACGGATGGTTCATTTCTTAAAAAGTAAAAATCTCCCTTACTCTATCGAAGATGTCAGGCGAATGACCGCTTCATGCTCTGTTTGTGCGGAAGTGAAACCTCGGTTCTACCAAAAAACCCCATCAACACTCATCCATGCAATGGCTCCTTTCGAGAGACTTAACATTGATTTTAAGGGGCCAATACCATCTGTGACAAGGAATAAATACATACTCACGGTTGTTGATGAGTTTTTAAGATATCCGTTTGCTATTCCTTGCTCGGACACATCAGCATCTTCTGTCATCAAAGCACTTACATCAATCTTCACCATCTTTGGTATGCCTGCTTTTGTCCACTCCGACCAAGGTTCTGCTTTCATGCCAAAAGAACTGAGTGATTTCTTACACTCTAAAGGGATCGCCACTAGCCGATCTTCACCTTATAACCCTCGAGGTAATTCTCAAGCTGAGCGATATAATGGAACGATTTGGAAGACTGTATCTCTTGTTCTGAGAAACAAGGGACTGAAGACAGAACAGTGGGAGTATGTTTTGCCAGAAGCTTTGCATTGTATACGCTCGTTACTATGTACAGCTACGAATGAGACCCCACATGAACGACTTTTCAAACACCAGAGACGATCATTTCATGGCACCTCTCAACCTCAATGGCTCATGAATCCAGGACCAGTATTAGTGAGAAGGCATGTAAGAAATAACAAATATGAACCTTTAGTGGAAGAAGCTCAGCTGATAGAGGCTAATCCAGACTATGCTCGCATCAAGTATAGAGATGGTAGAGAGGCTCTGGTATCGGTGTGACATCTCGCTGTTCCTCCTGAAGCTATCCAACAAGAGAATGAGCCAGTGACTTCGGAAAATCCCAGTCAAGAACTAGATCCTGCTCTTCAAGACCTGAGACGTGAATCAAATCTGCTTCAACCTGAAATTGGGAACTCTATTCAATCTGAAATCGAAACATCCCCTCTGCATGAGACCGTGACCCCTACTTCTGTGAGGGATAACGAAGAAACAAACCTGCGTCGTTCCACTAGAGTCCGAAGACCTCCCACCTATCTAAGGGATTACATTTAAAAAAAGATGGGGTGAATGTTATGTAATATGATTCCTTTTGTACTGTCAAATATTTATTCAGCTGTTTTATTTAAGACTGTTTTGTTTATGTAAGTAATGTTTACAGTTTTGTGCAATTCTCTCATGTAAAATGTAGCTGACTATTAAGTTGAATAAAACCATATAAATTTGGTTTCTAAACATTTCTTTTCATAACACTAACTACTGCTGCTACCTAGTTATGCATTGATTAACTTGGTTGTTTACTAGTGGTCTCACTAGAATTGTTGAGGTTAGCTTAGATAATGGTTTTTACTCCATAGTCTACAAGCACAGATAGCTGAGGTGGGTAGGGCGTGTGTCACTTGGCATCTAGTTGGTGACCTATGTGCCTATGTGTTTGTAACAATCAAACCCCCCCCCCCCTGGTATCAAACCCCTGGGGCATAGTGAGGTGTTAAATCCTTGGTTTAGACATACACCTCAGATCATCGGATTGGGTGAATATTTTAAGTCAAGGGGTTTTTTTGTTAGTTTATCCTTTGTTCAAAGAAAAGTTTTTAGCTACTTTATCTCCATCACATATGATTTTAGTAAACAACGATATATTGTAAGGCAGTCAAAGGGGTAAGTATCTTATCTATATACAGTAGGTTTATAGCGAAAATGCGGAGAGTAAATAAGTCAAATAAGTCTTAAAATTACACCCACATTCCATAAAGACCATAAACTAAACAGTTTTCCACTTTTCAAGTTTGCCGCCATTTTGGAAAATGGCCGCCATTTTTTAAATAATTTAATTCATATTTTTAACGAATTTTATGGTCTTTTTGGAATGTGGATGCAATTTTAAGACTTATTTGACTTATTTACTCTTCGCATTTTAGCTATTAACCTACTTGTTTAGGAGCTACATGGTGTAAAATGTACACCGGAAGTCATTTTTCCATAGGCTGTAACTCCTAAACGAGTTGGTTTATCGAAAAAATGTCAAGAATAAAAAAGTTTTTAAATTGCATTTTCTATCCGAAAACATAATAAAATATAGGGTGTTCCATAAGAAATTTCAAAGTTGGCCGCCATTTTGGAAAATGGCGGCTGAATTTCGGAAAAATAGAATCATATTTTTAACTGCCACCAAAAATAAAGGAATGTCCCCCATTTAAAGTTTTCTCTAATTCTTACCGTTTCCGATATCCCAATGGTGGCCTCCTTGAGTTGATCACCCTGTATATAATACGTGAAGCCGTATTTTGTTAACGCAACTCCTCCCTTATTTGTGGACCAATTTCAAAGTTTAAGGTGTCAAAAGATTCATCTCAATATGTAGTTTTGCAATAAGGTTTTAGAATTTAAAAATTCTTACTCTTAAGGGCATGAGACCCTCTCAAAGGTCGGGTTATCCCCATAAGAAATACACAGAACAAATTTAAAAACAAAAAACAGCTGTTTATAAAAAGAAACTCATTAGTTTTTTGGGAGTAAATATGGTACTTTCCTGTTAAAGGGAACATTCATTATTATCGATGATTTTTTTCGATATATCGATATTTTTGTTTTCTGGTCCATTACAAATTGACAACTGATCTTGTTTAGGCTAAAATAGACTGTTATATGGATTAAGAAATGAAACTGTTCTAAGCTAACCTAACATAACCAACCAAACTTGTTGTACTATTTAAAAATTCCTTTTGATAACAGAAAAGGCAAGGTAAACACGGAATTTTTAAATGTTACACAGCAAGTTTGGTTAGTTATGTTTTTAGAACAGTTTCATTTCATTATTGTTTGTTGATACCGAACAATATTAATCGTAGTTGTCAGCTGATATGTTTCAATTTGTTAATATCGATATCGATATATCGAGAAAAAAATCATCGATAATAATGAATGTTCCCTTTAACAGGAAAGTACCGTAAATATTAATGTTTTAGTATTCAGTAGGTTAAGACCAAGTTAAACAGTTAATCAGTCTGAAGTTCAAAGAAGAAATTTTGAAAACGGGAGGAGGAGACAATTAATAATAAGGTATCTTATGCGTATAAGGAGAGTAGAGAAAGGAAGGCCTGGTCTAACAGATACACATTCACTTGGTGAGATGAATAATATTTGCCAGTTCTGCTATGCAACTTACTTTGGATGTGAAAAAATATACGAAGCACATAGTGTTGTCACGGTGGCAAATAAACTTGCTTAATGTCAGATCAAATGAATGTATGCAAAAAAATTTTACTTATGACACTGACAGATCGAGATATTTCAAAACATTTAGTAGAAACCAAAATAATGCCTTGAGTTGATAAGTTCAAGTAGTAAGATTATACCACATCTTGGTGGACCTTATGTTTTTATTGTAAACTTTTGTATTATTCGCTCTACTTTAATTGAGGAAAAACACAAATGGATTGTTTACTTCTAGGTTTTGTTGCCAGTTCCTCGGACAACTTATACAAAGTTTTTTTCCTGAATTTTAGTGGCATTATTAGACATAAGTGAAGGAATTAGTGTTCATGTATTCAACGATCGAGTAGTTACAGTCAAGTTTATTTTTATGATTCACAAGAGGCAAATAATATACGCTGTTCAAAAAGAGAAAATGAAAATTGCTATCCAAATCTTTTAGCTACAAGAGTTATTCAACCTATTTCGAAAAATGAATCCATACTTTCAAAACTTTGGGACAGGTATTAAGAGAAACCCCATTGAACAACGTGAGAACGTTCTGATGCGGGGCATATACTGTGACTAACACACAACACGTTAACAAACTATCAATGGTGTTGCTGCTTTAGCCTATTCAAAGCAGATTATGGCTTTCCAGCTGATAGCCTAGAGTTTGTGAGTAAAAAATTGAGCACATTAAATGGTTGATAACTCTACTTTTCAGGATTCTCTACGGAAAAAATTCGTTTGATTAGGGGGATGCCTAGGCAACAGTTTTCTTCAATTCTCAACGTTGGAAAAATTTGGTTGCAACATGTTTGCTTGAATTGAAGCAGATCGATTAGCATTCATTAGAAGTTATCAGTTAAAACTGAGAGCAGAAATAATGTAGGTGAACCTTGACGACACAAATAGAGATATTTAAAATTAGTTTCTAACATGTGTTTAAACAACTCTAAGCTGTAACTAGAATTACTCGAATTTAAGCATAACGTTTTCCTTGGCATTGTGTTTCATACTATGTGGCTCATTGAGCCGCACGGGTTCTCTAGTAGTTTATATTTGGGGTGCACCTATGGAATAATTAGATACAGACTATTGACAAGTACCATAAACATTTATTGAGTTTAGTGTAATGCTC